CGTCAAATGAGTAAATTATTCGTTGTTTCTCAATTAACTAACTCGCTGCTTTTATACATTAATGTTTAAGTTCAAAAACCGTTCAGTGTATATTATCAATTTTTTCAATATTTAAATTCATGCTGTGCATTAAATTTTACAGAAAAAATGTTATTCTTCATTTTTTATATTTTTATTATTAAGATAGTTGTAAAGATGAATTTTAATATTATTTGTTACATCGTTTAAAATATATATATATAATATTTATATATTTATGAACATTATACTATTGTTAGTATTTTAGTTCATATTACAAATACTACGTTAATGTATTAACTATTACTTATCTTATACCACTATACATAAAAATGAAATGGCATGCTTTTAAATAATTAAATTAAGCTTCATCAAATTATAAATCTGACATATACAAATCACGTTATATTAACTGTTGTTACAAGTATATTGAGGCAACCGAAAAGGAACCGGAGGTTTGGAGCTACCTTAATCGAATTAACCATTTTAAGAATCCTAATCAACTTTACATGTCTAACTGGTTTAAGTATTGGTAATAATAAAATATATTTTAATTAATTTTTAAAAGTATCAAACTTATTCGTATACTTATTAATTTTACAAGATTCGCATTTTACACAACTCAATATTATATATATTTTTTTTATTGGCATTTGTTAACGATTAAATAATATTTTACATCGTTTATTTTTAGCTTAGTTTGGTTTTCATGAATTAATATATTATGAATATATTATAAAAAAAACTTATTTTACATCAAACAAATAATTAATTGAATATTGTCAATTAATTAATGATTATAATTAATAAGTATAATTATAATTATTATAATTAAATTCTAGAATAAGCTGATTCAATCAGTAGTAACTATATTTATTTAACATTTTTACTAAAGTTTAATTTATCAACGTTTATATATTTCTAAAATTAAATTTTTTCATTCTTTGATAAAATTCTTTTTATAATTAACTGAAAGCATATTTTCAAACAGGATTTAGTAGTTAACAAATTAAAAATTGGATTATTTATACTGAAGTTACATAATATTTTTTGTAACTATTATATTGAAGTTAGTTTATATATGAATTAATTACACAAGTCAGTATTTAATTATTTTGTTTCAATACAATAAACATACGCACTTGATTATTACGATATATGTTTATATTTTTAGACACTGATTAGAGCTATGTATCTTAATTAATAAAAAAATTCAGAGCAATCTTATCAAATCACACAATATACAGTTGTCATAAAATTTTTTATGCAACGCATATACAGTTATGAATAAAATGCAATATTTTCATAATTATTGTTTGTCTATAATAATATTACAACTTTTTGATAATAAATATATATTTTTATAATCAAAGATGAAAAATATCACATTATTCGATAATTATTAAATAAATTTTTTAATATTTTAAATGGTTTTATTTAAAATGTATATATTTACATTAAACTTGTATACTATAAATTTTTTCTTAAAATTATCCGACTGAATTTCTTATCATACTTATATCACTTAATAATACTTATATTCCTTATTTTATAAATTAGTAATTCAATAATAATTTTTATAACAATATTTTTATAAAATAATAATGGTAACAATACGTTTTTATTTATTTTTCTATAAAAAACAAGTTTTTATTAAGAATATATTTTATTTTTTATAACAAAAAATAATAGAATGTTGCAAACAATTTTTTTTTTCTTTATAAAATTAACTGAGTATGTGAAATCAGCGACAGAAACAAACCTTGAAAAAGGACCTGCAATCTCTAATAATATTTGTGAAACATCAGAATGTATTCGTGCAGGTTAGTAAAGATATTTAATATATTAAATTTATTTTGTAATTAATTAATAGAACAATAAATCATTCATGTTGGTGGAAGATTTATTTCGAAAAGTCAATAAATTTAATATTAATTTTTTTTAATTTAAAATATATTTATGAATATGCATTTAATAGTTACATTACGGTTGGAGTATTTTTTATTATTATATTATATATTATAAGAAGCATCTGTCATTATTACCTTGATATCATTTTTATTATATGAAAATATATGTTAATATATTAAAGTAATATATATTGATAAATTAATTATTTATTTATATAAAATTAAATTTATAATATATATTACGTATCTTTTGTAATTGTATAATATAAATATATAAGTAAGTAACTAAATAGCCAATATATACATATTATAATTAAAACATAATGTTATAATTATAATCTTATAATTAATACACAATACTATAATTAAAAAACCATATTATTATGTGCATTGTTATATATATATATATACTATTCATATTACAAAAATCAAAACTATTTTTAAAAGTAATACAAAAAATTGAATTCTTTCTTGTTCCCAATCCTTTTAAGAAAATTTATTTATTTAGGTATTTTCCGATATTTATATATTATTTATTTAAACATTTTTTAAAATTAATTATTAAGAAGTTTTTAGTTTGATTTAAATTTATAAATTTATAACACATACAGCTTCTACTATTTTGAGTTACATGGATTTATCTGTCAAGCCCTGCGACGACTTTTATAGATTTGTTTGCGGTAATTTTATTAAACACACAATTATTCCGGACGACAAGTTTAAAGTTGATACATTTTCCATAATTGATGATAAACTTCACGAAAAGTTGAGGAATAGTATACAAGAGAGGATCACAGAAAATAATCCTAGAGCATTTAAATTGCTTCAATCTTATTATAAAACTTGTATGAATACAGGTAATTTTATTACAATTTTATACTATTATGATTTATTGAATCTACTGACTATATATAGCCAGTATAGTTATAGATTTTATAGTGTATAGATAATATATAATAGATAATAGATTTTTAGGTTTTTATTTCAGTGCAAATAGAAAAAAATAGCTATAATGAATTTCGTAATATTTTAAAAAAACTCGGAGATTGGCCTGTTTTGATTGGCAATTCATGGGATGAAACAAATTTTGATTGGAAAAAATCTATCTTCCAATTACGTAGTATGGGTTTATCATACAATTATTTTGTATCTTTCAATATTGAAATTAATGTAAAAAATAATAGCAAAAAGATTATCAATGTAAGTCTCATACTTTTAACAACTTAATGATAATAAATGATTTAATGAAAAAGTTACGTTGCTTATTTACATTAAATTAATTTAAAAAAAGTTTAATATGTTTTATGCATACTATTAAAATATACTTTTAAAGGAACCAAAAATTATTTGGTTTTATCTTCGTAATAAAAGAAAACTTACGCATTCAAATTTTTTAATCAAGAATATTAAAAATTCAATACAAAAAATTTTGAAAATATTAAATTATGAGTATTTCATAAGAAACATAAAATAGTAATTATTTTTTAAATAAAAAATAAAGTATTGCTTACGTTTTTTCATCTTAAAATTAATAAAATCAATTTGAAATATATAAAAATTAAATAAATACAATATTTGTCTACATTGTAATAATTTGTAATATTGTAGAATTATAAATTACATTATGCAGTTGCCTTTTTACTATTAAAAACATATAAAAATTATAGAGGCCTTATATTCAATCATTTTTATTATCGTTTTCATTACTAATGTGCATCAATTTGTAGAAAAATATTCTACTACTAGATTTACTTGATTTGATATCGAATATATATATATATATATATATATATATATATATATATATTAATGTTTTTTACGTGATCTTCTTTGCAGTTAGATCAAGCTACACTAGGTATTTACCAAGAATATTTAGCAAAAGGTATAGATGAAAAAATTGTTCAAGCGTATTTTAAATTCATGGTCGACTTCGCAGAAATATTTGGAATGAATCGTATACAAGCAAAAAAAGAACTCAGGGAGTCTCTACAATTCGAAATTAATCTTGCACAGGTAAAACGATATTATAGTCAATAAAAAATTATCGACATCTTATAAAGTAATAATTAAATATAAATCCCTTGGTACAAACATCAATTTATATATTAGACATTATTACCTATTGTATTTCAAATTTTTGAATAGAAAATGTAATATGGTCACAGGACCTAAAAATGAAACTCAAATTTTTAAGAAATTCATATTTTAATTAAACCATATATTTATTATAATATCTATTCTTAGAATAATTACATTTTTAACTAATCGTAGTAGATAATTAATTATAATATGTTAAATTGTATATATGTGTAATTAAAATTTGGTGTTAAAATATATTCTTGTTCTTATATTAGATTATGAAAATGGTTCAGTCTAATTTACAAACAGATTTAATTAATGCATACTACTCTCTATAATGAAATCTTGTAATATAGTTTTATAATAAAAGAAAGATCAATTTCGCAATTTGGAATTTTCTCGTTTAGAAATAGTGGATAGAAGGACAATAGTATAGAAATTACTGATGTATGTACATATGAGTAAAACCGTATGGTTGTCATATATACTTATGAAAGTCAAAACGAACTTGTTTTAATAAAAACAAACGTATGCAATACTACAATATTTATATTATTAAATATAGCTGAAATACAAGTTTCGGAATTCTATATTGAAATTAATTTGGTTATTCAAATACATTAATGGGATATTAAGAATATTAAACGAAATTGAAATAAAAATATATTACTTTATTTCTACAAAATTTTTATTTTACATTACTACTTTATTTTACATACCCTCTCCTGTTGCCGTTGTTATATGCTTACTTTCTCAAATGATTGGCATAGAATCAACATTTAATTAATAGTATTTATATAATTTGTCAAATTAACATCTAAATATGGCACGTCTATAAGTAGATCATTATAAATGTAATTATTAAGTTATTTAATTATTATTGAATAATAATATATTATGGTAAAATCAAAAGCTCACGACCTCATTTGTACGGTATACATCTTCAATTTCAGATCTGCCTTCCAAACTATAAGCGCCGTGATATAGAGAAGATGAATAACGTAATGAGCCTAAGAGAGGTCGAGGTCAAGTATCCGGGTATCGACTGGCTGGACTACAGTAACACCCTTCTAGCGCCACACTCACGCGTCGAGCTAGATGAACTGGTAAACGTCGTCGTGCCGAGTTTCTTAGAGGAGTTCATACAACTGATCAAAAAGACCCCTAAGCGCGTTCTCGCTAACTATGTATTCTGGCGCGTAGCGAGCAGCTCTGCTTCCTTCCTCGGGAAGCGCGTCCAGGACATCGCCTTGGAGCTGGAAGCTGCGCTCACAGGCATGAGCAAAAGAGAGCCCCGATGGAAGGAGTGCATTTCCGAAGCATCAGAAAGTCTCTTCATTGCTGCCGGGGCCCTCTACGTCAGACGCGACTTCAATGAAAGCTTTAAAGCAAGTACCATCGACATTATCAGGAATATACGCAAAAGCTTCAAGAGCATAGTCATGCAGGTGGGAGTGAGATATATTTATTCCTTCTTTCTACTTAAAACTTTCTAAAGCCTACGAATCGTAAAACCTTAGTATCCTTACAAATGGTGATCTATCTCTCTCTTTCTTCCCTTCATTTCCCTCCCGCCTTTAAAATTTTTTCTTTACATTATTAGATTTATATATTTTGACTTATTAAACTATTAACGCTATTAAACTATTGAAAGCTATGTACAATTTTTTAAATAATTAAAAATTCTTTAATTTAAATATTATTAAAGGCTTCCTGGATAGATAAAAAAACGAAAACTTCAGCTCTGGAAAAGCTCGATTGGATTGTACAGCATATTGCATATCCAAGTGAATTTCTTGACAACGATAAACTCGACGAATTCTATAAATTGTTAAAAATATATCCTGAAAGTTATTTCAAAAGTCAACTGAGCTTAAATCTTTTTAACGCGGCTTATGTATTTGAAAAATTTAACGATCCTGTTAATAAGACGAATTGGATTTCTCACGGCCGATCGGCAATTGTTAATGCCTTTTATGACCCCACCGAAAATAGTATTCGTAAGTTTATTCTGGTATTTTTACCATTTACATGTTTCTAAAAGTAAATATAAAAATATCTATTATACATAGTATAAATTCAATAATTGCTTATTTAGCGTTTATATTAATTGTTAATTATTAATCAATACCTTAAGAGAAAATTCATATGTGCCTAAAGGCAATATAAAAATTTTTTTTTAGTTTTATAATAAAATATTAAAATTAAAATGAATATTAAAGAACTTGTAGTCTACATTTGAGATTTTTGAAAATTCTTTTACATAATATTTCTCTTCATTTATAAATATACGTACTTAATATGTGAAAAAGTATATTCGATTAAATATATGAAATTAATTAGTTCAAAACTTGATTTTTATATTTATCACATTTTTCATTGCATAGATGATATAGATATGAATTTTTTTAATTAGTTACAAAATTCAATTTGAAATATTATATAATAATATAATGATAAAATTTATTATTATGATATATGATTTATATTTTTAGAATTTCCTGTTGGAATCTTGCAAGGACATTTGTTTGCACAAGATAGGCCGAAATATTTAAATTATGGTGCTATTGGTTATATTATGGGTCATGAAATAACTCATGGTTTTGATGATGAAGGTCGACAATTTGATAAGAATGGAAATTTATTTGAATGGTGGGAGCCGGAAACGAAAGAAAAGTATTTACAACGAGCTCAATGTATTGTCGATCAATATAGTAATTATACAGTTAAAGAAATTAATCTTAAAGTAAGTTCACTTTCAAATTTTATAACTATGGTTTTGAGATATTTCCAAATATGATTTTTTTGACATAAAACCGCTCATTTCATTATATTGAAATTTCTACAAAACTACATTGTATTTTTCTAATTCTCGAGAATATTTAATCTAAAATTATATTTAATTAGTACCTATAGCTTAGTCGTATATCGCACGTGATTAACGAGTATGCTCTATCAAATTATGTTTTAACTGATACAATTATATAATAATATAGTAAATACAGTAAATAAAATGTTTAATTTATAATAAATTAAATATTACAAAAATGGGTAATAATTGTACTCATAAATTTCTATTCCAATGTAATTTAAGATTTTTGTTTTTCTTGCATCTATTACTGAAATACCAAATGTAAATTATAACAATTATATAGTTTATCATTTAATGTTAATCTATTTTTATTCACAATTATATGTATCATAAATAGTAAGTATAAAAAAATCATTTTATCATTTAGTAGTAAAAATTATAATATTGATAACACTCAATTCAAATTTTTTCAATATTTACAATTCTCTTTATAAAGATTTATGAAATGTATATTATATCAAAATACTTCAGCTATTTTAAGATTTTATTCTCAATGTTTGTTTTATTAGAAGTTGTTCTTAATATTATGACAATAATTATGATACATTTTCGGTGTATCAAATTTACATAACTCATTATTTGATTATCAATATTAATTTTTAATATTTTACGTATTAGATAATTTTATTATAAGATTGTAAATAGCTAGTTTGTTAATATATACATTCGTGATTATTTATTGTTTTGAGAATATCGAAATAAGCTATAGTGAAATAGTGTAGAATATATTAAAAATGTGGATAATCTCCAAAGAATTACTACAGTCTGTATATAAAATTCAAAGTAGTTTTCTAAAATAATATACTTTTTAAAAAAATAAACTTAATTTTGAAAATATTTAAATGCAAGATAACCGATCAAGTTTAAATATATCGAAACTTATTTCTTAAATGTTAAAAGTTATAAATGCAAAACAAAAGTTTATTAGCTTTTGTTATAGATAAACGGTGTAAATACACAAGGTGAAAACATTGCAGACAATGGTGGCATAAAAGAGGCTTACTTCGCATATAACGAATGGGAAGGGCGCAATGGACCAGAGCCTCGATTACCTGGACTTCACTACACTTCTCAGCAAATGTTTTGGATTAGTTCCGCTAGTATATGGTGCAATAAATATAGACCCGAAGCTCTTAAAGGTCGGGTTATTGTGGATGTGCACAGTCCCGGTGAGTTTCGTGTCATTGGGCCCTTATCAAATATGGCCGAGTTCTCTAGGGACTTCAACTGTCCCAGCGATTCCTCTATGAATCCTACCAAAAAATGTTCAGTTTGGTGAAGCTAATATTTATTGTTGAACGAAGAATTTGTTATACACATGTATTAATGTATGTGTATCCGAATACATGACTTAGATTGATATATGTCGTACTAAACATTCGATAGCAGCATGTTTTAATAACTCGATAATATATTTTGGCGCATTTTTGTTAAATGTTTCGATATAATATATTTTATACATTTATAACTTGTTTATTATTATTCTATTTATTATATGCTGTATTTATTGAGCAATGTGTATTTGTTAAAATATAGTATACTATAAATTTCGTTAATGTATTTTATCAATGAATTAATAATTATTAATTATATTATCATATAAAGTTCAACATACTGATAAAATGTTTATTTTTATAATAATAATTTGCAGAAATTTTAGGCTGTACAACGTTAAAGATAAAATGTTTGATCATTATTAAAAAATTATAATAAATAAAGTAATAGTTATTTTTAAACAGATTATAATTTAATCAGATAATATATTCTTTATAAAATTTCGAATATTTTGTAATAAACATTTTGATTAATATTATTAATCTACAGTTGGAAAATATATCAATACTATTTTTGAACTTTAAGTAGATATGAATTTTTACATAACTTAAATTTATTTAAAATACATTAGTTTTAGTAAGATAGAAGCTGCAAAGAGATTTCTATAATTATAAACAAATTATAATAAATCATAAATGTTTTATATTAAAATATTATAAAACTTTTATATTAAATAAAGAAAAATAATATTTTGTAACTATATCGAAGAATCATTCATATTTAATGTGTAGACCATTTTCTAGCATAAGCAATAAATTATAGTTAAAAATAAATTTTGGATAATAATCATAAAGTTATTCACATTCTATATATATATAATATTATTAGAGCAGTAAATTATGCTTCCTTATCCATCTAGCAGCAGTTAAAAATATTTTTAAAGTATGTTTTTACAGACAAGAAACGTACTAACCAAATTGAATAAATCTAAAGGACTGATTTGATTATGTGAATTCTTATTTCTTATTAATAGTTTACATAATCACGCAGTTAAAAGTTAGCGAAAGTGATAATCAAAGCTGCTAAGCTATTTTTTATTTATTGCTGACTTATAATTTTAGTATATTACTCTATACACTCATTTTTAATAAATTTAAATTACAAAGTTTACAGTAGTTTATGCTTTATAACAATTATAATGAAAACGTGATTTAATCTACAAGTTATACATAATTTTTTATTTATGGCTCATTATTTTATATATGATTGAATAAATAAATCATATTTAAAAATGATCATTTAATGTATATAAAATGTATATTTCGAAAAAGGACGTTTCATTATTCAATGATTCATTTCATAGATACTATAATTATAATTCATTAAACAATTGTTATTGTAATAATAAAAAAAGAATTTCAAGATTAATGTATATTAAAATTCAGTATGATGGATACATTATAATTCAAATTTATATCGATAGTTAATATTTAGAGAAATATACAAGCAATTGTACTAAAAAAATTGAATGAAGTAATTGATACATTCAATAAAGAATAATTTGATAACTGAGAAAGACAACTATTGCAGTACTACATGAATTTTTATATCAAAATTTTCTTATAAATTATATTTTATTTTTTGTAATAGTTATGTTATAAATAATGAAATAAAAAAATTAAAATGGCATGACTCTCAAACGATTTTAAATATAATTTATTGTCCCAATTAAAAAATGAAAATGCTTCAAATATGATTGTTATATTTAATTAACTTGTTAGTTCAATAATCAAGTTTTGCTATTACTTACTTCGTTAATATTAATCAATACGTCTTTCAAACTGGGTTATTTCAACTACTGATTATAGATAAACCGTTTTGTTTAATTCTAAGTGACCACTTTCATTTCAAATTTTATTATCGTATCGTATAACGGCCCAGAAAGTTTTCATTATTCAATGTATACTTGTGTCTGCCGCATAAATTTTAATTTTTGTTTATAATTGTAACATTTTTATATATTTTTTTAAGCATAAATATGATTGTATCATGTCTTAATGTTTTATGCTTCTTGTTATAGTAGAATTTATTTTTATTTTGTTAAGAGATCTTTTGCTGTTTCATAATTTTTACAATGCAATATTTACAATCTATGATATAGAATTTTTCAAACTCAAAATAATCATTATTTCTGTCTTTTAATTTAAAGTTTTAATTTGTCTGCCTTTATTTTTATTTGTATCTGCAATTCTACTAATACTAGTAAAATAAATATATATTAGGGTAAATTTAATTCAATTTTAATGATTGTTTGAATTATTCTTTAGGATTTCCATACGAATATTGATTTAAAATTTTTTAGGCGTATAACTTCGATAATTATATATATTTTAATATTATATATTTTGATTTATTTTATTTATTATATATTTTAATTTGTACTGATCATATTCAAACTTCTTTACTTTATTTTTAATATAAAAAATTACGTTTTTTATTTTCATTTTAATTATTACTAAATCGTAAATTAAATATATAAATTTTCAAATTACCAGATAATTTGTAAATTTCAGTGTACAATAGTATGCTGTATTTAAATAAAGATATCTAATTGAGAATAACTAATTACAATCAAAATAATACTTAGACTAAAGTAAATAACATTAGTAAATTTGCTGACAAATATAAGACGCACGTTCTAAAAAGAAGTACATTTGTTATGAAATCAGAAATTGTTCATTATTTCCCACTGATTCTCAATTATTCATTATAGCTATACTTTTATAACTATATGATTAGATATAGATATACTTTTATAATATATAGGATTAAAATTCATGTTCAAATTTTATTATTTCATTTACGGCTATTTGATATAAATATAAATTACATATTTACTACATAATCTTATAAAAAAATTTGATCGAAAATATAATTTAATTTAAACTAATAGATTTCAAATAATTAAATAAAAGACCACAATTTATAATGACTATAATTTATAATCTTTTGCATTTATAGAAAATAATTTTTATATTTTATTTATTCTTCGTAACTGTATTTATTTCATAATTTTATATATAAAGAAATTTATTACAGATTAAATTGGAATAAGTAACTTTTATATTTTATTTTGAATAAATTTTATATACAATTGTCTTTTTATCTTATATATGTATTTTTTTGACAATCCTTGAAGATATAAAAGTTAAATGAAATCTCTAAAATGATCTGTAGCGTTTTAATTCATGTTAACATTTTTTAACTATATTTTTTTTCGGTAAACAAAAAACAAACTTCGTTAAACGTGCTCTTTTCTTTTTATATAACTAATATTTTATATGTTTATAATTTAAAATATGTCGTATTTTGTACAAAGCAGTAAAGTATGTTAAAAGAAAATTTTTTGTGAAATACAAGAAGTATAACACGAATGATTAATTTCTTTTGAATATTTATGAATTTTTTGTTGAATACATTTAAAGCAAAAATTTTATTTACAATTTTTACAACTATTTAAACTATACGCAATTTACAATAATTAAAAATATAACTGTATCATCACAACGTATTATTAATATTTATTATCTAAGTGTAAATGATAAATACTCAAACTTTTGTAAGAATATTATGAAATTATATATTATCAAAAAAATTTATATGAAACATGACTAAAATATTTATTATGAATTTCGTATATTTACGTATAATTTTTTAACAATATTTTAAAGTCAAAGAACTTTATTAAAATTTTATTGTAATTGAACTAGGAATAACAATTAAATAGCAAGAATATTTTTATTAATTCGAACAATAATTTAAAATACTTTTTATTTTGAATGTTTAAATCATTAGCAAAATTGAGTAAGTAAATTGACGTAAATATATAACCCTGAAATTACATAAGATGAATTCAAAATCTTATCATTTTTGTTGATTAAAATATAAACTTTATTATGGTTTCATTTAAATGTACGTTAAATGTTATAATTAATTTTTGTTTTTTTACTGATTACCGATATTATTCACTTTTTTCAAATTAATTACCTTCAATTGTTTATTGAAAATTAATATATTCACTTTAAATACAAACACTTTAAAAACTATATTTTATAGTTAAATGAACCATCATTTCCATCATAGTAAATCAGTAAAACTTAGAAATGATTGCTTTTGCCTAAATTAGCATTTTAAATGTCCACCGATCCCTTATAAGGTTCACTATATATTTATAAGTGCTTGCAACAGCTAAACTAGTTTAGCATTTGTTGTTGATTTCCCCTTCTTCCAGCAGTTTTATCCTCCAATGGGTTAGGTGAATGGCGAATATTGAACATGTGTTGCGTTAGGTGGATTCACGCATATGCTAATGCATAAGTGGCTAACACGTACACTAGCATATGAATGCGTGCGCAACATACGTACCTACATAACACCAATGCTCGTGCGTTCCTGTATATTTTTTCGTGTAATCGCATTCAACGCATTCATCGCTATTTTTCTATGTGACATTCTTAATTCGACGGCTTTGATGCTGATATTGAAGGTAATGAATGAATTTTTTTAAATATTTTAATTTTATTTTACAAAAGATAATTTTTGTAAAACAAAATTGCACCAATAGAATCAAACCATAATTTAGGTTATGTTATTACAAAACTTTTCAGATATTGTTTAGGAATAAAGTAATTTCGAAATCATTTGCTACATTAATTGCTTACATTGGTACCAAATATTGTTTGTTAAATATAGTTTTTGCCTGTATTGTATCAAAAATAGAATGTGGTTATTTTCGCATCTGGATACTTTTCCAAAGTAGTTGTGAATAAAATATCTAAAATTATCTCAAATATTTTGTAATCAAAATTTTATACGATTTTTGTAAATGTTTGGTTGGATATTAAATTTTTATTTTATAATAAAATTCATCTAACCCGTCAATAGTTAGATAATAAAATTGTATATAATAATCTATACATAAATTATAATAAATATAATGCATACTAAAAAGTTTATGTTTTAATATAATTCATTATGCAAATATAATAATTTAAATATATTAATTTATAATAAATAGTATGTAAAATATTTTATAAATATACGATCCTTTTTTGTTTAAAAATAGGTATTTTTATAAAAATGGCAGATCAGCAACATTCACCATCAGAGTATAAACGAATGTCATTAGATAAAATTATCGAAGCCATGACTGCAGATTTAGAAAATTCTGCTGGACATTATGTTCAATTTGGAGTTTCAAATCAACAAACTCAATCTAATAATTGGGCTGAGTATAGTCCTAGTCAAGTACAACATTACATGGCCAATACAGCTATGCATTCTAATTCATCGAATATTCAACCTATAAATCCAATAACATCACCACTTTACATGCAAGATGTACCACAATATGAGCCTTCGACAACCACAGATCATATTTATTTTCCACCACAAACAGTAAATCACTTGGGTATAAATGAAAATAATGATTTAATTGGAACAATAGATGTTGGTGGTGGTAATTTTATTAATGTTATATATGGAAATGCTTCTCAAATAATGAGTGAACAATGCCAACTTGGTAATATAACATCTTATAATAATAATCAAAGTATAATAGATCAAGAATATGGACTTTTTAATAATCAACAATTACAGGTTAGAAAACATTATTGTATTTTATAATTAACATTAAAATTTAACAATTATTTGAACATACAATAATTATAATTATAATATTATTATAATTTATATAAATTATTAATTAAGTTTGATATTATTAAATTTAAATATCCATTAACAGCTTTGTTTTGTATTAAGTATAGCATGTTAATAAGAATTGTAATTTATTTTATCTGAATTCTATTTAGTTAAAGCTAAACAAATATTGAATAAATGTGAAATTATATTATAAACTATCTGCTAGTAAAATATATCTTACTTGTTTAATTAATGCAGTTTACAAGTATTTTTATTAATACCAGGTTCCACATTCCTCTACTTCACAAACTCAAAATTCTAATGGAAAACAGTTGATAGATAATCTTGTAGGCAATTGGTTGCCAAATCAGTCAGGAACATACAGCCCCTTTGGTGGATATCCCAATGTTACTTCTATACCATCTGAAATAAAAGAAGTAGAAGAGATACCTAAAAAAAAACCAAGAATGGTAGCCGAAGTTAAACCTATGCGACCATCATACTCTGATGTTTTAACAAAATCAGTTCCAACTCCTCCATCTCCTTTAATAACTGCTTTGTCTAAACCAAAGCAAGAAAATACAACAAAAAAAATTATAAATAAAAACTCAAAAAATAAAGCGAAACCCATAGTTTTAAAAAGACAAAACTCATCTGGTAGTGATGAACATGGTTCTCCAAAAATTCAATTGCCGAAAAAAGTGTCAGAGAAACTTAATGCTAATTTATCTAGACGTTGGGTATCATTAGACAATCTTGGTTCACCAACAGAATCTCCAGACATAATATTTGATAGATCTGATAATTTTGATAAAAAAAAAAGCTTTAAAACCTCTAAAAAGAATGATAAAACAGAATCATTGAATAATTCAAAGTTTCAAAATAATAGTACTAAAACTGTAACTAACTTACAAAAACGTCCAATTCAGATAAATAATAATTTAAATATAACTAGTAATTTCAATCAAACTGTCTATACCGATAAAATTGAAAAAAATCAACAAGTAAATAAAGTTAAAGAGGATAAAAAATTAATAAAAGAAAAGGGCGTAAAGCATTTTCAAACTGAAAAATCACAACAAATTAAAAAATGTCAAAGAAATCGTAAAAGGGAAATTAAAGATACTACTTTTAAAGACGTGTATAAAACTGTTCATAAATATTTCAATCGTTGGAGTAAAGTAGGATTAAAAATATTTCTTTGGTTTTTACATTTAATTTCAGATATTATTAGCATGAGTACAAATCTTGTAATTCAACTGTGAGTTTTTTATGAAAATATTTTTATAAATGTTTATTTTTTTATTCTATATAAATTAAATATATCTTTATTCATTTTCAGTGGAAAATGTGTATGGTATCATATTATTCTTTACTTAAAGTACACTTGGCTATATACAGTATCAACATTTTCAAAAATTCGTTTTTTTAATATTATTGGCAAACAAATTGATATTTGGTTTGGAAATAGTCGGTTTGCCTTTTGGCGAACACTGAAATCAAATAATGAAGAAAAAGAAGATGGTGCAACTTGGATAAGAGAAGGATTAGAAACTAATATATCTTTACCTAGTACTGGAGAAGAAGCAATGAAAAGATTACTAGCCTGCAAAGGAAAAGATCCTTATAGTATATTAGGAGTAACACCAACATGTACTGATGATGACATAAAAAAGTATTACAAAAGGCAAGCATTTTTGGTTCATCCTGATAAAAATAATCAACTTGGTGCAGAAGAAGCTTTTAAAATTTTAGTTCATGCATTTGACATTATAGGCGAACCAGTGAGATTTATTTACAATTTTAATTATTTTTAAAGCAAATTAAGAATATTCATTTATATTAATATTGTTTTAGGAACGAAGACAAGCTTTTGATCAAACGAGACAAGTTGAAGCTGCTTGGGGTGACTTGAGTGACTTGCTTTCTCAATTACAAAGAAAAATGGAACAAGCTGCTAATACAATACGATGTACAAATTGTGGAATGAGGCATAAACGAATTCCTACTCAACGACCATGTTTTGCAGCACGGTTTTGTGCTCAATGTAAAATACGGCATAGCGCTAAAGAAGTAAAAGAATTTAATTATATTTGTTTCTAATCAATACATAATTAAATTTTGTAAAAATAAAAATTCAAAATGAGTTAATATTTGCAAAAAAAATTAATATTTAAATTTGATTTTCAGATGAAAAAATTAATCAAATATTAATAGCTATAACATTTTTCAGGGTGATATTTGGGCAGAATCTCGAGTTATGGGGTTTCTTTGGCATTATTATGCTTGTATGGAAGGAGCTGTGTATGATGTAACAGACTGGGCTGCTTGTCAAGCTGGTAACTTAAAACACCTAAAAGCTAACACTCATACTGTCCAGTATAGGATTGTTTTGGGTCAGCGGCCACCACCACATACCTCTAGTAACAGTAAAAAGAAACAATCGGATTCCAATACTAGGTATTTATGATTAGATTTGTAAAAAATGCATTATTAAACAAATTGATTTCTAATTTACATAGTAATTAATTCAAACAATAGAAGAAAAAATAATTATTATTGAATAGATTGATAAAGAATGTCGGATATATCTAAGAATATTCATTTATACATTTAAATGATACGATTCTATATTAAAAATACAAGCTATTTGTAATTATAAGCGTTTAATTCCATTATATTTTAGTGGTAAAGCAGAATTTGAAGACTTCTTAAATAATTTATATAATCACAGTAAAACTGGTACATCGAATACAAGTGAATCTAATGCAATGAGAGGTGATAATCGACGACGTAAAACCAAGCGTAAGAAGTAAACAAAGGTGATTCAATCATTTTTCAATGGATACTTATGTCATTATGTTATTTAATGCATATGTCTAACAATTGAAATCTCACTTTTCTAAACAATTACTAAATTAAATATTATTTTTGCTTGTTCTTGACTAAAGATACTACAAATAAATGTATAGACATTTATAATATTTTATTGTTAAATTATTATGGATGTAAACAATTATTTTCTTTGATATAATGTATGATGTATAATTGCCTGCGATAATGTAAAAAATTTAAAAGGTGAATTTCTGTAATTGAAAAGAAGTTTGCTATTATAAATATTATATTTTTATTGGTTTTTTCATACACCTCAAAAGTTTAATGAAACGTAACATTTTATATAAAAAGAAACTTTATCTAAGTGTTTAATTAATTGCAAAAACGTAAAAAATTTAGTCGAAATAAATACAAAATTTGTTTGTATAACTATATCAGTTGAATCTAAAAAAATTTAAATCTTTAATATAATTCTAAACTTATTAAAGATAATTATTTATGATATTCATTGTTTAATTAATATAATGTAACTATTTGAAAAATTATAAATTGTCATTAATAATATCTTAATTACTTAAGATACATTGCATTAAAATATATTAACTGTGTTACAAACGAGTGTGCTTGCTACACTTTTAATAATATTTAAATCGACATTTATTTTTTCATTACTCTATACTTGTCCATAAAGTACGTAAGTGAATATTAATGTCAAACACATTCTAGATGATATTCTTATAACAGCATCGACTGGTTTGATCAAATTACTTGATCGATGTGAAGTAAGACTGATTTGTTTTTTTTTTGCTCCTTTAAAAAATTTTAATGAGCAATATGCATAACATTCTAATAAACTATGTGCAGAACTAAAATTTATTTACTTATTTATAAATATCTCCCAATCAATACTCATTACTATAAACTTTGATTTACTGTTGGAATGTATAGTACTTTATTAGTAAATAATTAAAGAGAATTTGAAAATTTAATTACAGTTAAATTTATTAATAATCCAAAATAACAATATTGAAATGGATATTCTTCATATTCCATCTAAAAACATAAGAGCATCCACATTATCAATTGCACTTTGAACATCATGTTTTTGTAAAGTTTTCTTTTTGGATTGATATGTGTATTTGTAAGATTCTTTAGCTAAAGAGTCAATAAATAATTCCTGAAATAATAAGTATAAATTTATATATATAAAGAAATATAAAATACTAAGATATTTATATTTTTGATAATTTTATGTTTCATTAGTTAAAAATTATAATTAAAAAACTCATTTTTAAGGTTTCTATCTTCATTGTTTATTTACACAATCTATTCTAAAATAATATGACTACTTATATGTATATAAATTCATTATTAAAGAATTCATAATGAATTATAATTAATATAAAATTATACAAACGAATTATTTCATCTAACTTGTTTATTCAAATTTGTAATTTTAATAGTACAATATTTGTTCAAATTTATTATTATTTTAAAAACTTTAAATATAATATCAGTTTATTTATCTTGATTGCCTGAGCCTTAAATCTACTAGTTCCAATTAATACAAATTAAAAAACATTTTTATTTTAAAAATAAATATTATGTCTATATATACACATACATTTCTAACCAATTCTTACCGTAGCTTTAGTTATTAAAAAAATTGCTTCTTGATTAATGAAATTAATATCAGGATCTGTTTTAACAATTGTTCGAATCCTACCAATTGGTAACTTTGTTAATTTAATTTTTGGTTCCTCATCTTGTAGAGCTTCAGCTTCATCAAGTTCATGTTCCTTTTGGAAATCTGGATCTTCGTTGTATTCCGTAGATACGTCTTCATTATTCAAGTTACTGTCGTTACTACATGTTTCTTCCATTGTTGGACTCTCCATTTTTTTGCTAACATTTATATCTTTTCTAAAATTTTACTGAAAAACAAATATTTATTATATTTAGAATACGATATATTTATATATAGTATACATCAAACTTATAAACACGTGGTACAAAAGCGCGCGAAACCATTGACATTGGCGCTACCTACATTTGTATTTATTATTGGCTATAAAATATAAATTATCTGAAATTTAACCATTCAATATTATATATATATTTTGTATTAAAAATAAATCATTGATAACAAAGGAAATGCTTTATTGTACAGTTTTGTAAGTTAAAAATATTACAAATATAGAAATAATAATAATAGAGATCTAGACAGTTAATAGAATGTAGATATAGATGTTGAAATTGTTCTACTTTTATTATTTCAATAACAGTATTAGAAGGTTTATCACTTTAATATATTACAAAGTTTAAACTCTTAATGTATGTTTTAATAAGACAAAAAAAAATTAAAAATAATACAAAATTAGAAAAAAAAATTGAACCTTGTTTTATTATTATCGGAAGTATTATTAATTTCTTAAGATAATAAAATAAAAAAGACGACAAACTTATTTGAGATCGAAATAAAATACAAATTTAATTTTTGTTGTAATGAATGAATTCAAATGAAAAAAATTATAAAGTATTTGTATACATTATCTTAAATTGCATTTGCGCATGCGTATTGAACATTTAGTAGAGAATGTTATTAAGAAAACAGTAACTGTAATTAATATTTGACAATAAAATAAATAAAATAAAATTATTTGTAATTTTATGAATATTTAATATCTAGTAATTCATATTTAATAAGTATGAACATTATGCGCATGCGTATTTTGTACATATATATATGATTTTTGGGTTAGGCTATAGCTTATATTATAAAAAATATAAAAACCTTTATATATTAGTATTGTACTACAATATAATAATATAAACTGTGAACAAGTTATCAAATAAAATAAAATATGAGTAAATTAAATAAATATAGACATTTGAATTTTTGAATGGACATTTAATTTAATTTTTATTAGAAAAATCAAAACAGGGAAAAATAAACATTATAGATTTGTCATTTATATCTATTAACCAATTTATTTTTATTGAATTCATATTATTGATAGTTCCAACTGAGAGGGATTGTTAGTGATTAAAAAGTTCATTTTAATCTAAAGACAAGTACATTAAATTGTCAACATTCAGTCCTCATCTGGAACAGTCAATAACCATACCATGAAGGATTCAGAAGCTGATACAAAAAATATAATAAAAAGTAGAGAATTACTTTATAGGCTTATGATAAGGTTATTATCACAACTCCGATTTGTTTGACAAATTTATATATCCAAATGATTCAATTATGAATATCAATTATTAACATTTTTTAAGTTTAATTTGTAATAATTAATATGTAGAAATCTTTTAATAATTTATATGAATGTTATTTTCATTTTAAATCGTTAATTTGGTTTGCTATAACTCTAATCACATTAGTTTAATGAATATTTAAACGCTTAAAAGTAAACAATAATTAATTAAAAGCTGTTATTATTAAATTTTAAAATCATTCAAATACAATGGCAATCATTAATGTATTCAATCGCTTGTTTCTGGTTGTGAATTCTTGTTTAAATTTTATTATTAATTATCAATGGGTTTTTTTTTTGGAATATAAAATTCATTTTAAATTAAGATAAAATGAAAGTAAAATTATACAGATTGTTAAATTTTATAAATTGAAAAACTATATATTATAATATTATATTATAATATTATAATATTTGTATATGTGTATCTAATTTACAAAAATAAAAAATGAAAAGTTATATATAAAAAGAAACTTACAAAATTACAATAAATAGAATTTTATTGATTTATATAAACTTATGAATTATATATGTTTAAAAATTAGAATAACATTATTTTAATCATATAATTTACATTTTTAGTCAATTATTTTATGATGGTCACCAAACACTAGCAGTGCAATTATCAAATTTAACACAAGCAGAACCTCCTTGCCCTCCTTCAGATCGATTATTGCACCTCATGCTAATTGGTATGGCACATGAACCAGATAGATCTAAAAAAGAAAACAACCATATTTCATCATTTACATCAGTTGAAAATACTTTAGGACCAGGATTAGATTTAGAATTTGAAACAGAAGCACAAACACAAGCTCCCGAACCAGCTCAGTATGAAACTGCATATGTGACTTCTCATAAAGGAAACTGTAGAGCAGGTGCATTTTCTGCAGATGGTCAATTGATAGCAACTGGATCTGTTGATGCTTCCATTAAAATTCTTGACGTTGATAGAATGTTGGCTAAATCAGCACCTGATGAAGTAACACCAGGTGATCAATCTGGTGGGCATCCTGTAATTAGAACCTTATATGATCACTTAGAAGAAGTAACATGTTTAGAATTTCATCCAAGAGAACCTATCTTAGTGTCTGGAAGTAGAGACTTTTCTGTGAAATTGTTTGATTTTAGTAAAGCCAGTGTTAAAAAAGCATTTCGCACAATAACAGATTCAGATCAAATAAGATGTTTATCTTTTCATCCTACTGGTGATTATTTAATAGTGGGAACAAATCACTCAGTTGTGAGACTTTATGATGTAAATACGGCACAATGTTTTGTATGCAGTCTTCCAAATCATCAACACACTAGCGGTATTACTAGTATAAAATACTCACCTGATGCAAAAACTTATGCATCCGCTAGTAAAGACGGAAGTATTAAATTATGGGATGGAGTTTCTAATAGATGTATAAATACATTTGTTAAAGCACATGATGGTTATCAAGTTTGTTCCGTTACTTTCACAAGAAATGGAAAAGTAAATATAAATATTAATAGTTATATCATAGTATCATAATATTAATAAAGATATTTATAATATTTTTTATTTCAGTATTTACTTTCATCAGGAAAAGATTCATTGATTAAACTTTGGGAATTATCAACAAGTAGATGTTTAATTGCTTATACCGGAGCTGGAACAACAGGTATTTGAACATTGTTATTAATTTTCATTTGACAAATATATATTTCAATAGATTAAAAATAATTTCTTTTAAGATAATAAGCAAATATTTATTTACATTTCAAATTCTGTAGGTAAACAAGAACATAAAACTCAAGCTATATTTAACCATACAGAAGATTATGTAATGTTTCCTGATGAAGCAACTACATCATTATGTGCATGGAATTCTAGAAATGCATCAAGAAAACAACTATTATCGTTAGGTCATAATGGTCCAGTAAGAATGATTGTGCATTCTCCAGTTGCACCAGCATTTTTAACCTGCAGTGATGATTTCAGAGCAAGATTCTGGTTTAGACGTATGCCAACACATTAAGAATGAAGATTACTGAGTAATTGTAATATATATTTGATTATTATAAATCTATCAAAAAAGTAGCTTCGTAATTAACCTTTTGAATAATATAAACTTTTAAAAATTTTAATAAAATAAAATGTAATGACACTAATGTTTAATTAAATTGTAATCTTTTTAGTATATGTGCCTTCAAAGTATAAATCGATAGTTAATAAAAATAGACGACATATTTTAAATAATGAAGTTTTAAATAAATGTAAAATAAAGTAACTATTTTGCAATTTTCACATGTAAAAGATATAAAGTTTATAGATATGATATTATTCTATAAATTAGATATAATTCCTCACATTTTTAATAAGTTTATTTATAAACTAAATATTAAGTTATTTAATAAAAATTATAAATTGATTCAAACATTCTATATAAATAGAATAACTAAAAAATTATAATCTATAATCATATAAAAGTAATTAAAAATTGTTTTGTTTTTTATGAAAAATAAAAATAAATCGTACATAATTAAATTAGCAATACATAATAATAATACATTCTAATAACTATACATAATAATATTTAATATATTTATTACAATATCGATAAGACTGATTTATATAAAAATGAATAATCATATAAAATGAAATATATATTTACAAAAAGTCTAAAATAAATTCGATTTGACATTTGAATTATAGATATTTATTTCAGATAAAACAATATATTTAAAATTTAGTATTTATCATTTAATTTTCAGTTAGTTGATTGCAATTTTGATTAATTTTCGATTAATTAAACGGTAGTAATTTTAATAATTTCATATTAGAAAAGATTTTAGATAAAAAAACATTAATAATCCTTGTTCATTAATTTATAAAAATTTTTGTATTCGAAATTAATTTGGAATATTCATAAATATTTTTAAATTAATAAAAATATAGCGCATGTTATAAATTACTTAAAATTACCTAAAAAGAAATGTAGAAATTTATACATTTTTATCTGTAACATATTTACATTTAATTTTATTTCGTATTTTCACTCCTATTGCTTGTATTGTTAATTTAACTTATGTGCAAACGTATACATACATATAACGCCCTCTCTTAGAATTGAGCATCTTTATAAAAATAAGGGTATATATCGATTTTTATATAGCCTTTTGAGTGTACATATTCATACGAGTTTTAATAACAACATAGTTTGTTAGTTTAATAACAACGAGTTTTAATAACATGATATCCATTTAAAATTGAAAGCACTACATTGATATAACTTCAATAAAGCAATAAGTTAAAGCTATATGAGATATTATCATCATTGTATATAAATAATACAATTATTAAAATAATATTAATACTGTTGTCGCAAAAAATTCTATATAAAACAAAACAGCTAAAACTATTAACATCTTACGGAAAATACATGTTTTTTTTTAATGAATTAGCATAATGTTGCAAAAAAAATACAATTATGCGAATGGAATTATATTCAAAGTAATTTATGTTTTATTAATTGAAATAGATGTTTGGAAAAAACATGCATTTTTTTTAAGGTAAATATACTATTGGGCTATGTATCACGTATTTTACATGTAAGAATTTAAAAAGGTTTTATGTGTAATACGCACTTGACTAAATTCAATCAAAATCCATCTTGGGGAAGTCAGAATGTATAGATTTTTCATTTAGAAAAATTATAATTACACTAAAAGACAAACAGAAAATTATTTTATCGACTCATTTTCATAACCTTATCTTATTGTTGTCAAGCTATCCGTTATAACTATAATGGGAATAAATTTATTTTATAGGTCATTTTTAATTCAGTTATAGATACCTAAAATTGTTTGTTCTATTATATACTTTTGCAAGAAAAAGGCAGTTTTAATAAGTTGTAAGGATTCCGTGATTTTAAACTAAAACATATTTCCTATTATCTCTTTATATTCTGATAGTTAAGTTGTACATTAAATTAACGACGTTTCCTGGAAATTTTCGATATTTGAACTGAACAAAATCGAATATTTTATAATGAAAATTTGAATATACAATGATCAAAGAACACCATCGAGTTTTGTCAATACAAAGGTCAAGTTCATCAATTTGCTTGCAAACAGATTTAAATTCACGATCAATGTTACTTATTAAAGAGATTTTACTAGGTATCAAAAGTCAAAATAAAATAAATACAGTTAATAATGAGACAGTAATGTGACAAAAATAATAATTTTAATGTATTATTTTTAACGGATTGCATTTTTTATTTTATTAAACATAGAAATTATAAATGATCATAAATCTGAAAAATAAAATATTAAATAAATGTTCATAATTACATATAAAGCAGTATTTACAGTAAAATGTATATAAATGAAAAGATTCAAGAACATACAAATTATCAAATCAATATAAAAATAAATTAAAACAATTTTAAACATAGTTTTTTTCAATTATTATATTTATTAATGAAATTAAATATATATACAAAGAAATTACTTTAAAGTTTTTAATGAATCAATGAAAAAATTATGAAATCTATAGAAACAATTATTCTACAAAAACTATTAGGTAAATTATTCATTAAATTTAGAATATTCAATTACAAAATTATTCTGTTACATTTATCTGTCAATAGAAGTAAAATAACTCCTGTAATAGAAATAGGTAATTGGTTATAATTAGTTTTACATATATATTTATCAAATAATATTAGTAAAATATTAAATTATACTGAAACACACGCACGTATATATATTTCATTCATACTATTTCATTAGAAAATGATAAGAATAAATAGAAAATATTAAAGAGTCTTTTTACAAAAAAATGAAATCTTTTCACGTTTCCAGAACAAGAATACTAAAATATAAAACCAAACTATAAATTTAAAAAATACAAATATTCATCAGAATAAATAGATATGAATTTATATTGATTTCTAATGTATTGATATCGGCAATCCGAATGAAGTTGTATTTTCTTATTATAAATTATTTAATAAGAATTGTTTAAATTTTCTTACAAAACTTGAAGAGTATACTATATAAATTAGTAGTCACTCTATATTTAATAATCAAATACTTAACAGTGATATTTTTACAATGAAAATTAACTTTATTTCTGTATTTTGAAAAAAAAATTGTCAGTAATTTAATATTTAATATTAAAGACAATTTAATATTTAATAATATGTTAAAAAATAGATTTAAAAATAATACGTAACATAATATTGCAACGATAATGAATCATATTTTTAAGTTATGCATTTATACATTCGAATTTTAATTAATGTAAGATTATATTTAAGATTGTACAAGTCATTCATTTGGACTTATCAACAGAGTATGATAATATATAATAATTTATAATATATAATATATAAAAATTTGTAAGATTAATAATGTTAATTTATTTTTAATACACGTGTGAAAACTCTATTTTAGGAAAAATGAAGAGATAAAATATTCTTTAATATGAAACATTAAGGGTCAATAATTTAATTTAATCACATCTATCAAATAATTCTAATACTGATTTTCCATAAATAATACTTTAGAATGTTTACGTTAAACAATTTTTTTAATCATATTACACAATGTTTTACAATATTGAGAATTTTTTAATTTTCATTTAACAGTATTTTAATAATTGCAGATGACAAATACAAGTACTGCACATAGTATTAAAATACAATATTCTTTTCACAAAAATATTTTGGGTAATTATAATAAAGTTTATTTGAAGTATTTTTCAATGAAAGTACTTTAAAATCAAAATAACCATGCAATTTTTTCGAGTCTTTTAATAAACTTTGATATTTCATATTTGATGCTGGATAAATATTTAAAATTTTCTAGGAACTCTAATTCTTCTATGTTTATAAGTATAATTACAATTAAGTAATTTTATTGGTTTTCAGATTAGTATATACAATAATTAATATCAAAAATATCAAAGATTAATGGAAATATAATTTTTGGAATAACATGGAAATATATATTTAAAAATTTCCACATATATTTATATTAATATTTACATATTTCTTGTGTGCATATTTTTTATTGAAAATTTTTATGGATGCGGTCAAGTAATACGCCAATCTGCTACTTATACTTTACAATATTTACTAGATCTATAAGATGTCATTTTCTTTAAAATTTAATTTTTTCACCATTAAATTAAAAGTTAGAACATAAAAGTACAACAATAGCTATTTGTGTAAGGACAGAGTTTTTATTATTCAGTATAATTTTAATTTAAAATATAATTTTTATAAATTATGTTAAAAATGAGATAATAACATGTAAGTTATATAGCTCGAAATTTACATATTTTAAAATACATTACAAATTGTAATAAAATATTAAAAGTTAATATTCGTTTTTTTATTCGCTAATTATCCATTATACAGAATATTTAAAAGAATATATTAGTTTAATTTAGAAAAGATAAGCTTAAAATAAAAATTTCAAAATTAATAATAAGAATACCTGTCATTATTAAATTATATTATTATAATTTCTAAGCTATTTATTTTATTACTGTACACATATATTATAAGTATTGTTTACTGTAACAAATATCTTATATTAAATTGTTATCAGTTTCGTTTTTAAATTTTTATGTAAAATAATATCTATGAGGCTAAGCTACAGTATACTTAAAATACATAAATTTGTATAGAAAAAATAATTGCTTCATCTTTATTATTTTGCTATAGAAATAAATAAATGTATAATCTGATACAGACCTGACACGGTATTGAAAGTAATAAGAGATTTCATAAATTATAATAAAATTTATTCATAAACATTCATTGTTTTAATAAATTATTTATATTCGTTTTCTTAAAAACTAGATTCAATAATTAAATTATTAAATACTTAATATTATTATTGATTAAAGTATTATCTACACAAATTAATTTCAAGAAATCAGAAAAAGTTATGTATTAATTAATTTTACTTTATATTAATATTATAATGATTATGGCACAAACCAATTGTGAAAATGAATTGTTAGAATTGTTTTTTATGTATGAAACAAGTACAGAATACAGAACATCCATAATTTAAAAAAAAGTGTATAAATTGTCCTTTAGTCTAAATTGCTAAAACGAAAATTTTTGTTTAGATAATATATTATTAAATATAAAATGTATTAAAGAGCGTCTTTTATTATTATGAAATCATACGATATATATTAATTTTATATGTATATTTATATATATATATTTTATATATATATGAAATATTTTCACTTTTATAATATTAAAAACGAGTGCTTAAAAGTAAAAGAAAATTATAATGTTTAAATTAAATAAGTCTAAAATTTAATAAAATGTTAAAAATGTGATTCATTTAGGCATTAAAACATATAGATTATATATCGTTAATTTAAAATTACTATTTACAAGTGGAAATATTGACGAGGGTTGATTGGCAATCAACAAATTGCATTTGAAGAAAAATTATTTTATCTATTCCAAGGGTTTTCTAGAGAAATTTAACTAGTTCTGAAAAAAGTAATACAAATAAAGATTTCAATTTTATTACTCGTGGTCGAACGATTTGATAGATACAAAATTAATCCAATATTTTAAAGTACACGTGGATGGATGACAATCGTTCGAGGAAGAGACACACGAAGACGTACATATTCAGCTAGTGGAATTGACGCGCTCGTTTTTAAAGTGGCGATTGTTTAAATGGAAAGAAAATTCGCGGTAGACAAATGTATGGCAAAGCAACATAACGCGATGCAACGCAACTCGAGTTCAGCGTGGTATCGTCACGCGCGTTTTTCTTAACTCGCATTTGTATCGGACCGCCGGTGTGACGAGGAGCGGGGCGAGTTCCCGCCGCGTCATCATCGTTGTCCCTCTTCCATCCTTTTCTTCGGGCTCGCGCACGTCAGGGCGGCTTCAACGGCCGAGATGGTGATGATGATGGAGACGGCGGTGGTGGTGGGGGTGATGGTGATGGTGGTAATGATGGTGGTGGTGGTGGTGACGGTAGCGGTGTCGGCGGCGTGTGCGCGCCTCTCCAGGGCCCATCACGTGACCCACGCTAGCCGCCATCTTTGCACCTCGCCGTATAAACAGTGTGTGTGCTTGGTGCCGACGAGCTGCCGGGGCCCGCGCAGAACGATCGGGAGTCCGATTGACCTCTTCAGCCACACGTGAGAGCTTGTTGCAAAAGGAACGGGTTGTCGAACTTGATAATTAGGGCATCTTAAGTCATTCTCATAATTCTTCTTCGGTTGTGCGTCAGGATAGCCGACACGGTACTACGGCACGCGCGCGAGCGCACTCTCTCTCTCTTTCTGTGTCTCTTCCTATCAGAGCGGCGCGCGCGCGCGCGCGGGTAAAAAAGAGTGATTCTAGTGTTTGCCGGAGAGTGGTGAAGCAGCACGCCGAGGGAGGAAGTGGTGGACGTCGACAACGACGATAACGATTACGATCACGATCACGACGACGACCACGACCACGACGACGACGACGAAGAGGAAGAGGAGGGTCGAACCTGTCTTAACGAGTCTGCGCTTAACGGGAGCCCGGCACCATGTCCGACATCAAGGTGGAGAGCAAGAGCGAGAACAGCGTCGACGACGCGGTCAAGGTGAGTCCCAGTCGAAGGATGATCTCGACGAGGCTATGTTTTTTTCATCTCCGGGGTTAGTGCTCCTATTCGCGTGCAACGTAACACGCGCATATGCACATGCACGGGAGTCGCAAGCCGAGTTCTCATGCTTGTTTTCGGTTGAGCTCTTGTCGAGCGACAGCGGCAGCGGCGGCGACGGCGGCGGCGGCGGCGGCGGCGGCGGCGGCTTTTCTGCATGTGTGACCGCGCTTTCTGTTTTACTCGCCTCCTCGCTTTTGAAATAGGTTACACCAAGAACGATCCCAATAACGACCATTATTGTTATTCGCAGTCGGGTTTCCTCTGCTTTTAGGGGTTAAAAGGTCGATGAAACACTATTGTCTCTCCTCGGAGCTACTTTCAAAGCCTCCAGTTGCGCCGCCGTTTGTCCTTCGCTCCCGTCGTACGTTTGCTAAAGATGGCGGATGTTGTTTTTTTTTATTATGCTCGTGGGATATCCGGTCGTACGTTCCTAAACATGTGTTTATGTAGTTCGAGTCAAGCGTGAAAATCCACATAACGAGCTGCGCGCGTAGCTTACTTCCGATTATTTACGAATAAAGGGTAGCGTAACATATCGTTTACACATTTTATTCGTAATTTCGCTATAGGGACATTTCAGTACTCGCGCTCTTTCGCTTATTTTTTGTTTTCGACCCCCCCCCTCCTCCCCATCGCCCTTCATGCCCGTTTTCTCTTTCTCTCATTGTTCTTACCCCTCTTTCAAATCCTAACCCGCGCTCTTAATTTGCGCGACACCGGCTGGCGCAATCGGTACTTTCGTTCTTTACACATAGTGTCGGTGGCAATAAAAATTGATAAAGATCCGCTGAGTGGTAAGTAATTGTCATTAACACGATTGTACTAACGCCGCAATGCTTTACCCCCGTGTTTCAGCTTTCGCTATAACACCATCCAATGACGTTATTAGCTGGATGCAGCCATTGCATTTCCACCCTAGTGGCCTGTAACGAGTCGCCTTTCTCAGGTTTTCCATTCGCCCTCCCTTTTCTATCCTTCCCCTTAGCCGCCGCCGAACCCGTCTCTTGTAATGCTCAGTGACAAATTCACTGGCACGAGATCCCCTTTCCTTGCTTTAGCCCCTCCTTTCTTTCTCACTTTCTCTCCTATGCTCAGCTAACTCGCGTAAGGTACGAAAGTGACGCGTACGTTTACGTCGCTGCGTACGTCCTTTTCCCCGAAAAATGGCGGGAAAATCGAAAAGCACGAATTCTTCTCTCCAGTTCCGCTTTTCCCAATTGCCGCCGTAGTACTTCCTTTTCTCTTATGAGCAATAATCTTATCGAGCTGCGTTTGCTCGAAAAATTGGCATGCGGCCACGATGAATCGTTTGATTATTACATAGAAACACTAATTGCGGAGTTGGTACTGTCATCGCCGGCGCGTTGATTTTGATCGATGCGAGGCTGCGATGTGTCTTCCGTAGAAGGCGATCAGAAGCTATCGCCGGGACGAGTGCGCGCTTCGCTTGGTTCTCTCGCTCATTGCACATTTTGGGCGGGCTTCTGTGCGCCGCGCACGTATATTGGTATCGTACAAGTATAGAGGTGCCGGGCATCAGGCCGCGTTTCTCTTCTTCTCCTGAGGTATTTGAATGATGTAGCGTGGCGGCGTCACTCGCATTTGGCTCTCCCTTCGCGCACTTGTCTGATAACGCTACACCGACTCTTTCTTTTTCCCTTCTTTACATTTTCTTCTTGAATCTTCGTTCGATTGTAGCTTTTAAAAATGAGGCTTTTTATCATCAACTGGCGGGCTGTGCCTAAAAGCTAATAATTTATTGCCTGTTTATTTTGGAGATTGATTATTTTAAGACATGCCTCCATAAGAAAAGCAATTCTTGTCTTTTAGCGTTTTGCTTCTTGCCATTTTCACTCATTTGTCGTTTTATCAGCATTTTGTTATTCTATTATTAAATATATCGTTTTTTGCGTTTATTGCAATGACAGCGTGTAAATGTTTGCTGACGCTGCATTTTTTATCGGAGCTATTGCCATTCACTTCATTCTTTGCATGACAGTAGTCCGTATCTATCATTCATTAGTATATTGATATTATTTCTCTTTTCAATTGATATGCCATTTTAAAATAAGTATTGTTATTATTATTTTTATAGTGTTATATTAGTTTAGTTTAAATTAGAATTAAAATTATGTAATCGTTTACATATTATTTTTTTTATTAATTTTAATAGTGTTCACAATGGATATATATATATGTATCTACATTTTTTACCTTGATATTCTAAATTCGCAAACATCGTCAATTATTTTTATTTATCTTTGTAGTAATTTTGTATTAAAATTTTTTAATTAATATCTTATATTATCGTTGTTTTATCGATAACATTCTTTCAAATTATTAATTTCAATTTTTGTATTATCAAATAACATGAATACTTAATAATATATTCAACGTGAAGATTAATTAAAAAATTTATTCAATTTAATTTAACTTATATATTTTCGATTTTCCGCAGTGTTACGCAATTATTATCTTTTCAGAAGACAAATTTTAATTTTCGTCTTAGTAAAAATGACAAATACATATGATGCGTAATTCTACCTACTTTTTATTTATATTTTCTGAAACGGCAACCGTGGGCTCTTGTATGCATATTGATAATAGATTAAAACAGTCACGAACTATTAATATTTTTATTATTGTTTTGCTGTTGAACATCTTGATTTTGATCGTCTAATCGAAGAAACGCATCAGATATTCACATACAGGACACAATTAAGCATTATGAGCAACACATTTAAAAAATTCGATGAAACTAATGCTTTGTATACATTATATTAAGCAAAGAAAAAATCTTTTGTTTCAAAAGATTAAAATTCAAAGTATAGTATTACAGACTCACTCGCTACCAAAGGGTGTTAGTTCTCTTAAACGGTGTGTAATTTGCCTAGTAAGATGAAACTTTTATTCTTTCATGCATGTCAGAATAAAATGACGGTTTTGTGGGGAGGGGGGTGTATACCATATAATGTCATATGGTAGCGTGGCGTTTCCCGCCACTTTTTTCCCTTCCTTAGCACAAGCATTGTTGGCTCCTTATTTTTAATAAGACGTGCCGCGCTGTAGTCTTTTCGATGTCCATTCGATTTACTCATGCAGCTGATATAATGCGAAGGGAATAATCAACTTTTATGAATAAGCGAATTTCCATTTCTTGTTTTATATGTTTACATAAATGATTATTCGAACAACGTGCCTTGTACCGTTACGTGTACAATTTCATATTCATTACAGATAAAAAAAAAATCTATGTTCTAACTAAAAATAATTTGTTAAAGGGCTAATCAATGAAATCAGTTTGTATATTTTAATCAGGTTTTTTTTGTACTTTTGAATAATTTTTATTTTCTTTTTTAAGAATACATAAAGTGTATTTCAGTACATAAAGTCATTTATGTACATTATAAACTGAAAAATTGAATTTCATTAAAAGAGTAGTTTATTGTTAATTTATTTAATTGAACATAGCATTTAGAAGATCGCTTAGATTACAAAATTGAAGAAATCTTTTATCACCTTGTGTATATTATTAATAGGAAGCATTTTTTATCCACATGGTCGTGTTTATATTAATACGATTCAACATAAATTTTATTGCATAGTAAAGCTTTTAAATTTCAAACTAAGTAAATTAAGTAATGTAAAATTTAAAATAAAAAAACCAAGAGCTACTACGAATGTTAAATGTTATATTTCTAAAAGTTAATTTACGAATTTAACGGTATTAATTCGTATCACCTTCTTCACCTTCTAATATCGATCTATTCGATACTATAATAGAAGCCGAAAGTGTATAATAATCAAAGAATCTCTAAAATGTGGAATATAAAAATCTTAACTAATTCAATAATACATAGGTAGGTAAGATGTAAAGATATGAATTTAAAATATTATTTACAAGAGTGTTTAACATTAGATTTGTTAAGTTTTAAATATAGTATTTAATAAGATTTTTAACCATGTGCTCATTATTTTTTATCTGTTTTAAAAATGATTATCCAAATATTAGTTTTACAATTGTTGTAAGTGAATATTTGTACGATTTTAATTATATTTGAATGATTTTTATACATAGTAAAGTTGAAAAACTTGTAAATGATTTTAAATAACAAATTAATTGGTAATTATAAATCTATGAAGTATTGTTTAAATATTTATAATATATTGCTTTATTTAGCTTTAGTATAGTTGAAGGATAAAATTTTGAAACTTTAAATACAATACACATAAGGTTTCTATTACTTTTATTATTTTCCTTTTTGTTATTTTATGTCTATACATTTATCTTACTTAAAAAAAATCGCTGATCGGATGTATGTTTTTTTTATTTTTTAAGGAGGAATCGCCAGAGGAAAAGCAACCCGTGGCTAAAAGTAAACGAAGTGGTACGAAAAGGCTTTCAACATTAGAAAAAACGGCTCAAGAAGCTGATGTTATACTGAAGGTAATTAATTTTTTTACTTGTATAATTTTCAATGAAAACGCCAATTTTGTATAAATTGCATGAATAATTTCATTTATTATCGAAGCATTTAAATTACGTTTATGCTATTTTGCAATATAATTATGTAAGATAAATTATTTTATACATTAAATAATGGGCTTTACCATATATTGTTATAATATATCAGTTAAAATTATTGAAAATTAGGGTAACAGATGTTTGATAGATGAGTGTAAATAAATAATGTATGTATTAAAATTTTTTTTAAAAATATTATTCTTCGGATAATGGAAGGAAAAATACAGAGTCTATGTATTATAAAAATTAAATACAATCGATTATAACAAAATCATAATAAATCAATGGGTCAAATATTGGGTTTGTGGTTTTATAAAAAAATGTTCCTTATTTCGTTAGTTTATGTGATAATGTAAGATGTGTGAAGGCTAAAACGATTTTTAATATCGTAGTGATTTTCAAATACCGCATAAAACGGGGGGGGGGGCGACTTCATCACAAATGGGAATTAACTTTCGAACGACTTTTGGCGGTTCGGCCCTGTGGCCTGTTAACACTCAGATGTATAAAAGCCGAGAAAGAAGCAGGAGCAGAAGTAAAAGGACTGAATCCTCCTCGAACGCCTTTTGATACGCGTCGAGTTTTTGCCCCTTCCCCCTCCTGCCCTCGCGTCATCCTGGTGTTCTCGCCATCCCCATCGTCTTTGATTGTCGTAGAATGTCCTCCCGCGCATAGCTATAGGTGGATTGTGAAGCAGAAAACGCAATACACAATAGGAATCAAGACGTTTTTGCTGCTTCTTGGCTCGTTCCTGTTTCTTTGAAAGTGTTTCCTTCTTAGGTTGATCCTCGAGCACTCCACTTGAGTGCCTTTATATCCTACATGCCACGCATGCGCACTCCAAAGAAAATCAAGCGAGCGATGCAAAATGTTGGGAATCCGGGCCAATTTTCATTCAAAAATAAGAAAATTGTATACTTTTCGACTTGGAAAATATTTCTTTTTTACTGAAAAAAAGTTATTGTGAACTTAATTCGAATTCTGTTATATCTCAAATACCGCTATATTACATTTCAAGGACAATTATATAAAAATATTAATCTTTTCATTATAATAGTACCAAATACCAGTTACTTAAAAAATAGTTTAATAGTATGCACATTTGAATGATTAATATTCTACAAGATGTACAAACTAAACTTCTATCATAATAATATAATATAATAGTCTTTCCCGTGTATAAATGAATCTTGGAAATACATAATAATCTTGGATGTAAAAGAAAAAAAATGTGTTTTGATTTCTTAAACCGAATTTCTAAATTTTATTACAAATAAAATATTGCTTTTCTTTAGGTTATTTATATGTCTACATTATATATATATATATATATATATATATATATATATATATATCTTGTTAAATATTTTTATTAATTATAAAAATATAAATAATTTTTATATTATATAATTAATAAGAATTAAAAAAATACATCTAGTGTGATTGGGGCACTCTTGAACAGCTTTTTCAAAGCAATGTTTTATCTAACAATTTTATTGTTACATAAAAATCTCAATTGCTGGCTTTAATTGATTTAATTTCAAGATTGTAGTTTTTAATATTGTTATTGTTTTTTTGTGGTTTATTATTATTTTTGTTGTTGTTATATTTACAAGTTATATAGAGGATGGATGGTATCGTTCACAGTACTATGTTACGGGAGTAAATCGAAGACTTTGGAAGCCCTTAAAAGAGGCGAAATTTTTCGGTCCAACAAATTTGCAAGGACATGTCAGTGTTTTCAATCATGTGTGATACATAATTTATAATACTTTATCAGTAACAATAATGTTGGAAACATTTTGTTTATTATTTTACCATGTAATATTAATTTTATTTTTAGATGAAAATTTGTTATATATTAGAGAAAAAAACAATGTGGATAATTATTTCAGTTTTTATGTTCGATTTGCATATAAAAGCGTTGAAAGATTTGTCTTATTAGTGATTGATAATAGAAGGAAAGTAATGAAACCAAATTATTTAATGCTTTATTCTTATTATAGTTATATAAACATTCGTATCGATCCTTTTAAAATATCACCAATAATTATTATTATTATTTTACATTATAAAATTGATTAGTCATTATTTAAGTCATCTTATATCTTCTCATTAAAGATCTAAAAAAGAAAATGGCTTTCAATGGATATATATTTATTCTAAAGCATAAGATCCTTGACTAATCTTGGCGACTTGTTGCAGGGTCTGAATTCAAGTGTTGGTGAGATCGAGGGCAGAAGGCGCACGCGCAGCTCAGCGCGAGGCGTCGTCTCGACACCAGCCCCATCGCCCCCGAAGAAGGAAAAACGTGAGCCACGCACTGGTGGCGGTCGGGGTCGGGGGCGCCCTAAGAAGAGTAATGAAAACGATGAGGAGAACGCTGCTGCGTCTAACAACAAGGCCAACAACGACAAAGATGAGGAGTCAAAAATGGATGTGGATGAGGGCCCCGACGAGAAGGACGGCACTAAACCTGCTGTGAATGATAAGGACAGGTACTTTGCCTTCAGTCTATCTTCGAAAACTCACAATATCTTGTTCGGATTGATTGTGTCGATTGTCGGTTTTCGGCTACTAGCTTGTGTTTGTATACGTAACATTTACACTATGATTTTGTTATTGCTTAATACTTGTTTGTTTAGTAAAAGTATAATGGTGAAACAACCATAATATGTATATATCATTGTACCCTTTTGAAAGTATTTGTTGCATAAAACGTAAGTTAAAATTGAGCATTTTATAAAAATTGTTCGAAGTTATTATTTTTATGTGAAGAAACATAATTTTTTGACAACCACATGCTAGTATAATAAAATATAAGTCACAGAAGTTATGTAAAGAATTTTTAAAGAAATTTTAATTAGTATAAAATGTAATTTTTCTAACAATAAAAATTAAACAATCTAATTAATATTTAGCATGTAAATTGTAGAATATTAATTTCATTTATATACAAATGAATGTTAAACTCAAATATTTGTTTTAATTATTAAATTAAGGTTTACGTGTTTTAAAATTATCTAATTATTAATATTGTTGTATTTATCATTTCAAGTTCACGAAAGCTTTTAATGTAATTTACTTTTATTTTTAATAAATTTGTAACTCGAGATTTATCATTTATTGTTTTTTTTTCGAATTTTTAAAAAAATTAAAATTTGTTCATATGATTATTATGTAAAGTAATTTAGCATTATTCAATACATAAATTATACAATTTCTGTACAAATATAATAATACAAATATAAAAAATTTTATAATTGGTTATTTTAATTGCAGTAAAGAGGAGTCGAAGAAAGAAATTCAGACGGACGGAAACAATGGAACTGTCAAAAATGATAACGTTTCCGAAGAATTGGAAAACAATAGTAATTCCGTAGAGTCAAAGAAAAACGCAGTGGAAGAATCCGTAGCGACAGCGGTGAGCAAGGATGAAGTAGCCAAGGCCAATTCAGAAAATACGACGGAAGCGTCGAGTAAAGGAACAACGGATGCATCAGTATCGGAAGCACCGAATGCCGTGGCTGTCGAAAAAACCAATACCACCAATGCCAGTAATACGTCAGTAGCTGATGAGCAAAAAGAATAATATAATCTTAGCTGAGCGCATCACATCCCACGTAAGTCAATTTTTTAATACTTTACGTAGGAAGTACTCGCGTGCTTTGCTTTTAGTTTTTAATTAATATTATACTATTATATTAAAGCAATTTACCTATTTTTAAATTTAGGTTAAGTATTAGATGTTAATAAATTGGAACAATATATATATTAAAATTAAAAATGCTTTACATATTAATTATAAATATTTTTCTTTACAATTCAACAATATAGTAAATTAAAAAATTAATTTATTTATAAAGTAATATAAAAATTTAAATCAAAATTGGATATACTTAATTAGCTGTTAGAAAACATTTAATTTATATTTTGTAAAATATATGAAATGATAACATTTTCTGTTATATAAATTAAATATGGAATGGCTTGGGGTATATATTACTTTATAATATACCATCTATTATATTTTACTCTAAATAATCATTTATAAATAGTCAATGACAAATTATAGTAAGTTTGTGAATTGATCAACGAACTGTTTATAAAGAAGTTTTAACCCTATAATCTGTTACATATGTTTGAACGTGTGAGATAATTAATTATTTTATTTACAGCAGGTTTCAGGGGGAAGCACACGTCGGGATTACCGATCTTGTTCTCTCGTCCATTTTAATTAATCGACATCAACTTGTTAATTATCTGGCTAATCAGCGCATCACATTCGAACTTCGCTTGCACTGGAATGAAGGAAGATAAATATGCTTTCGACGTTCCTCAATTTACGATCGTCGTATAAATTAACTAGAATAAAAATATTTTTTAGAGATTTAATGAAGGATAAAACTTGAATTCTAAAGTAATTTTATTTATAAAAATAAGTTTTGTACGCATCACATCTTAATTTCGTTTAGTATCTATGAAACTTAAATTAGCAGATGAGTTATTAAGTACATGTATTTTATTTACAAAGTAAATATAAAAAACATGCTTGAGTAATATTTTTAATTTTTTATTCTGAACAGTATTTATTTTATTTATTTTTACTATAAATTTAGATGAGAAAGGCGCCTTTAAAAGAATCTGTTTCTTTCATAAATCATCTATTAATTTTTGTATCATATAAATGATTAAAAATAAGGACAACAAAAATTTCAATCGAATCGAATTTTTAAATCAATTTTGTAGATTTACGAGTGTATAAATGTGAATTTAATTTGATTATAGAGGAGTATATTAGAGGAATGAGTTATATATTTATAAGAGAAAAATAGTAAACTTATAAAACTACAGAATTGATTTTATGAAATTTTAATTTAGTGTTTCCAACTTTTTTTCCATTTAAAGTCAAAGTACACCCGAAGTTAATTTTATAGTAATATTCAGTGCGAGAACACAAAAGACAACTCAAGCTGTGTCGTCAATACAGTTATAAGATATTTGGTGTGCAGTGTTTGAAAATTATATTATTAATAATTGCCGAGATGCGCTGATTAGTTATTGTGACGAGGGATATTGAATTGTAGAGCATATGTTGTTCATGTACAATGATAATATTATTGTAAAATATATTTAATATGGACTTAAAATATAGAGGGAAAGGGAGAATGGAGGCTATTTTCAAATCAGAGCTGAGAATTAGGGATAGCCTCGAGGTGTCTGCGATATACAGATCTGGTATGGAAGTGGCTACGATTGACTCATTCATAGAGAAAGTTTTACTGTAATTCTTTTTACTTACATAAATAACGACTGAATGGAAGTGGAATATATGATAATAATAATAAGATTTAAAAAAAGGTTATGTATCACTTTCTCCTGTAATCTTAGTATGCAAGAATGAAAATTTTGAAATTGCAGATTTATCCTTGGTTTAATTTGCATATTCGCTCCTTTTCTACTGCGCTGCGTTGGTGTTACTTAAAAATTCAAATTTTGAATGTGTATATCATTACTTATATAATTACTATTATTATTAATATTATTATTATATTATATTATATATATTATATTTTATAAAATATTCGATGATTATGCGAAAATGGTAAAAGGTGAGGTTTAATAATTATATGTAACCTCAATGGATATTGACATTAAAAACATCACAATATATGAGCATAAGAAGAGTCATAAAACTGCGCCACATTTCATTATTTTTGTTTTTTCTATTTTTTTTCGTTTTTTGTTTTTTTTATTTATGTATTTGATTTTTAAATTGGTCCAATATTAAATATGTTAATATTATTGTGTATCTGAGTGGTTGTGAGTGTACAGATAACTTGTATGATTGATATACATTTTTAAGAAAATCCACACTTAATGAGACACCAACTGATGAAAAGTTTATGATATAATTAAATGCTTCCAAGGAAACCCCCTTTGATTAACCAAATAAGTGTTCTTATTTTTAAAAAAGTTAAATAAGAATACAAAATTTTGAATATAAATTAAGTTTTCTTAATGAAGCTGAGATAGATTTTTCTTAAAGATATTTTTAAAAACTTGTACATTTCTTTCAAAAGCATTTAATCATTTTTCATGCATAATACATGTTATAAATTTATGTTATAATGTGGTAAAATCTCATTTTAGCAAAAGTATATAATCATTGTAAATAATGGAATTAAATTTTAAGTTACACTCGTTTATATTATTAAAAAATATTATTTGAAGTAATACTTGAGCGTTTTAAGAATGAAAGTATAAATTGAGAAATAGAATTTACTTGACTTTTTATGTTTGAAAAACACTTATATGTGAGAGTGTAACAAAGAATTATTTAATTAAAATTTATTTGACTTAATTATATAGGGCTTTGTATAAAACTAGAATTTATAACTATCAGGATGTTACTGAACAGAAATAGTTTCTTCCAAACATTCTAACTATTGAATTAAATAAATTTTTAATATGCTTATCCATTCAGTAAAAAGTATTTTATTAGTTTCACGTTAACATAACAAGTCAGTTTATTTGATTTCTTTTTATAAGGAAATCTTATTTTACAATAAATCATTAATTGCAATGTGTCTGTGCAATAAAAAAAAACAAATAAAAATAAAAACAAGGATTTATTTATATCAATAATTTCTCCTGTATAATTAGAGAATTTTGACTGTTTTCATGAATAACAATATCTAAAACAGTAATTTTGTCCTGAAAATAATAATTGAATTAATTAAATTTTTCAAGATTATAATTATTTACAAGTCTACTTTGAAAGCTATATACTTGTATTTTTATAATTCTTATAAATGTTTCAAACATTATTTATCAGAAATATTTTATATATTGAATGATTTTTATATGATTTCCATATTATATTTTAATTGTTTTTACTTATTAGAAAATGTATTTTTCGGAAAAGTAAAATTATTATATATTGAAAATATATTGTGGTTGTGCTTGGCCATTTATTGGTTATATGCTTTTATAGTCTACAGTGTCATGTTCCACTATTTTGTAATACGGTATATTTTATAATATTTGAATAACAATTATATTCATTTTGAAAGACTCTTGCTTTCTTGATTAGAATGAATTTCGAATTATTTTTAGTATTTCAAAAATATAAATGTTGACTGCTAAAACATGTTATTTCTATAAACATAATGTTTTACAATTGTTAAAAGGTAAAAAGTAATCAAAGGAAATATAAGAAACAATAATCGCTAATCGAAGAGCTGAATTTAGCGAGTTGCGAGTACAAAACAGGTGTGTATCCATTATTTTTTATTAATGAAGTTAAATAATAAATGATGAGTGTCAGTGTCTCGTTGGGTGCGGTTTTTAGCTGTAATTACAGACTTAGTTAAATAATTATTAATTAATTAATATTATATGAACAATATTAAATATAAATATGTATATGTATAAAGAAAGTAATTATAAAACGCCATTTGTCTTGCAAATGTGAAATGAGAGAAAATTTTCCATTTCTTTGAACCAAATGAGATAAGCGTTTTAAAAAGATTAAAAAGAACGCGAATCATTTACAAAAGTATGTTAGAATTTGTCATATTCAATTATTATGAAAATTAGAGAAAACAAGTAAAGTATAAAAGAAATTTTCAAAGTAACTGAATTAATAAATCTAAAGTAAGGTCACAGCTATACGCATAGAGTTCGTATTTAATGTGATTACGAAGATGAAAGACAAAAAAATACCTGCGCATTTCAAATTTATAAAACTTTGGCAGTACATATACATCGTGCTACACGACTATCTTATATTTTATGATTGGTTCTCATAAAATTTTTAGTAAATTTATTGTGTAGCCCTTATTGGGACTTAGCATCATTTGATAAGCCTCGTCAAAGTTATATATATTTATAAAACAGGCTGTATCTTATTATACAGCTGTTTTGTTTGTACAACTTCTATTTCTATTGTAGAAAAGTCGACTCGATAAAGCTGAAGATTATATAAAGAAGGAAACATGTTTGATTTTTAATTTTGTACTAAAATTGCTTCGATCAATAAAATTTGTCGATAAAATAAATAAAATAAAATCAACAAAATAAAAATCATATACATTGATATGTTTACGACTAAGGAATTCATGTATTTTTGATTAATTCATTTCTATATTTTTTAATTAAAAAATTTACGAATACTAAATGTTCAAAACGTTATATCATTTTCTTCTTTTTTTAATCAATAATTATTAATAATTATAATTAATTTGTTTTATGTATAAGTATAATATATTAACTATCGAATATTTCAAATTTCTATATTGAAGTGTTCCGTTAGAAATTCATTTTTATACATTTCCTAACAAGTCGGTTTCTAGAAAATAAGTAAATATATATCATGATTTAAAATAAAATATGTAACAGAAGTTTGTAAATTTATATGTAAAATAACGTTTGTCAAAATACAAAAGATTACTTTAAAATTTAGTAATTTATTTTAATATTTAAGTTAAAATAGTAAATTATTCTCATGGGCTATTATTAGTAGATTTAAATGATGTAGTATTCCTCGAGTGTCTGGTTAATCAATTGTTGGTAAGTAGGAAATTTAAATAAATATAAATACACGTTATATTT